CTGATTACGAGTTCATTTGGAAAAGTGTCTAGATTATCATTTGGAAAAAACAAACTGCAAAACAGTATATACATGCATATAATTTAATTTACATGTATTTTAAAAATACACACATTTATATATCCACACAAAATAACTAAAAATTATGTAGCTTTTGGGGAGTAGGATGGGGCAGGAAAATAAGACAAAAAGCCATGAGTGATAGATGCCCCAATTACCCTGATTTGATTACTACACGTTGTAAACCTGTATCAAAAAAATATCACATATACCCTATTAAAAAAATAAAACAGTAGCTTACTACATATTAACTTTCAATAAAGTTATACTGTTTAATGTTATGGTATTTTTACATTTTAAAAACCATATTTTTAAAGAGGTAATTGATAAATCTGAAGAAAAAGGAGCCCTCAAATTCTTAGCTCCGTCACGCAGAACATTCAAATACTGTGAATCTCTCAGATAAAGCCCCGGCAGTACACAGAAGCCTGATCTGTGTCACTTGTCCAAGTCACCTTAGTTTCTCCTTCTGTGAGATGCTGATGATAATAATAAACTGTCCCTCTTCCTTTATAGGGATCGTAACAGGATAAAAGAAATTACAGGTATGAAAGTTCTTTGAACTCTGGAACAAAAGTACTCTATAATTCCAAGGTATCATTACCACCAAGGTGGTAAACATAGTTTGCATCACTGAAAGGAATGGCTAGAATTTGATTAAAATATGCCTGACATCCCCCAAGTAAAAGTTATCCAAACAAATCTGGTGTTGGCAATCTCTGTGGATATTCAAAAAATGTGCACTGATACTGTATTCAAAATAAAAACTCACATTGAAAAAAAAAAAAAAAGTCTAACGATGACCCAAAAAAACCAAACTACTATAACCCTGATGTTATATAACCGACTCTAGATTCCAGTCTGGCAAGTCAAGGGACGGCACCGACAGAAAAATTTTCAGAGTGGGAAGCGTGTTCTCCCTTCGTCAGGATAAAACATTTTCCTCATACTCTTATACGAAAATAAAACATAATTTACCACCAAACTGACAGCCCTTAAACATTTTTTGAAAAAATCTTCATCCTCATCTGACTCGGTCTATTTACAAATGTTGCACTCATCTGCAGCTGTGTGAACACATACCCAAACTTCTTCCAGGGAACGGATCAACCTACTGATCCATTAAACTGTCAGTATTTCACATTCTATCAACAATCCAAAGGAAAAACTCTTCTTCAGCCAAGGGCAAGTAGGGCTGGTAAAATAGAGACACTTCTCCAGGAAATTCCAAGAAACAGAAAAACCAACCAAACATAAAACTCAGCGCTTTATTTATATATATAAAGTTTCAAAAAAAAAAAGTTGCTATGATGGCAAATACAAAGTCTCAGAATTCTCCTCCAGCTGATGTGTCAGAAAGATAAGCAGGGTACTTCACAAACGCAGCAATTCACCTACAAATACCATCTCACTTCTTTTTACCTACATAGCAAAATAAGGGAAAGTCTTAACTGTAGATTTATGAAATTTATCCCAGTGCCGAAAACACATCAATCAAAGCCCTGGGAAATGAAGGGAACAAGCCATTCTTTTCCACAAACATCCCTACCTCGTTCCTATTCTAGAGTTTTTTAATGGCTCTGAATATTGCTGACAGTCTAAAACAGAATTATTCAAGGTCAGAGATTTCACCCCCTCCCCATCAGATGGTATCCCGTACTTATTAAATGTTTCATGAGCGGCTAAAAGGCAACAGGTGTGTTTTATTTGTTTTGCTAAATGTGTCAGGTAAAAGCAGCACGTAAAAACCTTAATCATGCCCGATCTGTCACTCAGAGAACACTTTATGATGCACATCAACAGAAATTCTAAAATTATAATATACGTCTACAAGCATCACACGTCCTAGTTGAAAAGGCAGAACTGCACATATGGTGTCCAGCGGAAGTCAAAGTTATGATACAAAGATTTAAATGTTAGTATGAGCCACCAAATCTGATGGGACAGAAGTTGGCTGTCCTGGTTAGGGACACTTTACTGAGAATATCTGAGATAAACTACACTAACCAGACAGGCTTGGCCAAATCACCCACTATCTCTATGGGCCAAATCACCCACCATCTCTAGTACCTAACTTACTGTTGTAAGGGTAAAGAACTAACACACGTAAGGCAGTTAGGACTGTGTCTGCCACACAGTAAGTTCAATCAACTCTCAGTAAATGACAGAGTTTATGATTCTGTAAATTTCTGTCATGGTTAATTGAAAAATTAACTAGGGTGTAAGATGAATTACTTCAGTTCTAATACCGACCCAACCGTGAGCTAGCACATTACTCTGGTCCTTATCTACATATATGGACTTCAAATACAGACCTGAGTTTTCTTATTTTTTAAGTAAGGAGACTGAAAAAAAAACAAAAACTTTTGATTTCCACTGCCCTGTAGACGGTATAACTGTAATACATGGCATCACCTACTTCAGCCAAAATGTTGAGATCAGAGTCAGTTATTAGACAGGCCATCTCAATAATCTGGTCCTTCTCAATGTCCAATCCTGTCATCTGCAATAAAAATAAATATGTAACACACACAAAACCATCTTTCTGGCCTATTTTACCCAACTTTAATTAACAGGGATTCCCTCTGGTTTCTATCCCGTAGCCAAAACAGAAGAGACAGTCACGCTCCTTGGATCACTGAACGTGCTGAACCTGAGTCCTCGTACCTCCAACAAACGTTTACCAACGGCCTGACATTTGTCAAGTACTGTGCTTCTCCTCTGGGACTGCCGAAAACTGGGAGGTGGATTTCTAACACTACATCTCTAGAGAGTTTAAAAAGTTTTCACATTAATGACGCCACTTGATCTTCATCACAATCTAATGGAGAAAACGGTTACTATTTTCATTTCATATAGGAAAAAACTGAGGCTTAAGGCTGGGGGTGGGGGTGGGGAGACAGGGAAGATGAGCTTTTGGTTTTAATACGGAAAGCATGAAGGGGTCAGAACTGGGTTCTAGTCCTAGCTCAGACCCTCACTAACAGCATGACCTGGAATGGGTTGAATCCTCTCTTTGGGCCTCAATTTCCTCACTTCTGGAATGAGGAGTAAGGCTGAGTCATCTCCGGAGTCCCGTCTAGCCCTAACAATCCAGGTTGGTGGGGGAGGAGGGCAGCAGAGCCGCTGTCCCCACCCCCACCCCAGTGACCCTAAGCCCAGGACGTCAGAGCGTTAGGGAAGTCCACATCTGGGCAGGGGGGTAGGGAATGACCAGGACCGCTCCTCTCTTCGGAAAAGAAACCCCCAAAGCCCAGCACGGCCCCCAACACCCGCAGAGCCCCTGGCTCCGGCCTCGCCCAGCGCTGCCGCCGCCGGCCGCGGTCACCTGCCGCACCTGAGCCCCGGACACCCACGGCTGTCCCGGGCCAGGCTGTTACTCAGGCCGGTGAGCGAAACTTCACCAGCCTCCCCTCACCCTCGCCGGCCTCTCTCACCTCCAGGTCCACCCAAACCATCCGCTGAGCCATGCTCTCCCCTGCCGCCATGGCTGCGCCACCTTCGCGGACACCTCGCGCCCGGAACTGCCCGCGACTCCCACCTACACCTCGCAACAGCCGGGAGCCAAGGGAGCCGCCTAGCATCACCCGGCACCAGCCGCCGCGGCCCGGGCCTCTCCGCTGAGCCGGCGCAGGCGCAGTGCGCGCCAAACGTTGCAGCCCCGAGGTGGGGGCGCGGGAGCCGAAACTACAGGTCCCAGCGCCCCGCGCGCCGACTCGCCCTGGGCAGCCCGGCTCGGCCGCCGAAAGGGGTGACGGGACTTGGAGTCCGCTCTGCGGGGGCCCCCGCGTCCCCACCCCCGCCACGTGTTTTTCGGAGGTTACTGGACGCGCATGTTTTTCCCAGCTGAAGTTTGCTTGCTTCCAGGAGTAACTGCCTGAGTTTCCATTAGTTGTAAACCGCGCAGTGGAAAAATAACTCTTACTCTGGTGGGTCGCAAAACATCTGATTACCTATTTATGGTCATATTTTGCAAGTATATCATTCCTTTTTTATTTACTTCTCTGTTTTACTCATCTGCTCCTCGCTTCCACGCACTGGGTATTTTTCTCATTTACTTGGTACCAGAAAGCGTTTTTCAGACCAGAAGACTACTTCCACTATCATCAAATCATGACTGAAAAATCACTTAGCACCAATTAGGTGTGCAAGGGTCGTCCCCTATTTCTTAGGGAATGTGGTCTGCGTGTCAGTTCAGCTATTAGGCGTCAGTGGCAATGATCTCCTACTGCGCCCTTAAAAGTTCTCAAAGCGGAATCTTATCCTGATATAACAAATCTATGCAGCAAGTTAACAATGAACTAAAACAGTTCTTTCTGTCATCATCTTTGGTTTTGATCAAAGTATCCTTTGACTAGAGGTGGTGGCTCCCACCTGTAATCCTAGCACTCTGAGAGACCAAGATGAGAGGATCACTGAAGCCAGGGGTTTCAGACCACCCCAGAGAACATAGCAAGACCCTGCCTCTATCAAAAGTAAGTAAATAAGACAAAAATTAGCCATGTAGGGTGGCAGATGCCTGCAGTCCCAGCTCTTCAGAAACCCATTGGGGTGGGGGTGGAGAGTGAGAATCACTTCAGCCCCAGGTTACAGTAAGTTTTGGTAGCTCCACTCCACTCCAGCAGCGTGGGTGACAGAGCCAGCCTCTGTCTCTTAAAAAATAAAAATAAATGAATAAAACACACTTTATTTTCTTCCAATGACATCTATAGTTTCCATCATTTCCAGGTCCAACAGGACCATTGGGCCTGGGAGTGTCAGATTTCCTGAGTCTCTTTAATTCTCGGCTATTCAAGTTGTGCGCAGAATGAAACTTTGTCACAAACTTTGATGTCAACTTCCTCTGTGTATTTTGCTAAAAGGCACACTGCCACTAATTACGGAGGTTGTGGTCCACCTCTTAGTAATTCCTACCTGGTGATGGGTTTTGTGAAGATAAACTTTATGCCTAATCAGACTTTCAAGAATAGGGTAGTGCCGCGCATGCTCCCATCTGTAATCCCAGCACTCTGGGAGGCCAAGGCAGGTGGATTGCTTGAGCTCACAAGTTCCAGACCAACCTGAGCCAGAGCGAGACCTCATCTCTAAAAATATCCGGGTGTTGTGGCAGATACCTGTAGTCCCAGCTAGTGGGGAGGCTGAGGAAAGAGAATCGCTTGAGCCCAAGGGTTAAAGGTTGCTGTGAGTTATGACGCTACAGTACTCTACAGCGGGCGACAAAGTGAGACTCTGTCTAAAGAAGAAAATAGTGTAGTATATTGAATTTCACCTTTTCTTTAGTAGTGTACTCAACCCACTTTGCCAGGGCCCAGACATCAAAACCTCTTAAAGACTTTATTATTCGCTATGTACACATAATGTAACTTCATTGGCTGATGAAGTCACATTGTTTCACTACAGTTTTTTACCTATTTGTAGCCTACTTTATAAGAGATGGCCTGCATTTCTTTAGTTTTTTTCTTAGTTTTAAATTTGATTCATAAGAAGAGAGTGGGTTGAAGTTTAGAAACTGGGCGATCCTCAATTCTCAAAGAATACTTTGTTTCCAACTAACTCTGCTACCAGAGCCTTGAGTAGTCTTACTACAAATCACAACTTCAAGGACAGAGTTTATATTTCAGTTCGTATATCCTGAAAGTTTATAATCATAATTTTTAAATAGTGGGTAGTTCAAATTATGTGTGGATATTTTGGAAACCAGTTTTTATTCAAAAATAGTGATGTCCTTTTTTATAACAATAAACTCAACTTTTCAGTAAATAGTGTTAGAATACAAGGAGAGCTATCGTTTGGTTTTGTGTGTAATGTCATTGCACTGATAATCTTAAAGATTAATGTCCCAATGTACAGTAATCTATGTGTCAAGTTCATAAATCCAAACCATGAATATAAGAGGGAGGACAGACACACAGTTACGGGTCCCCAGAATCTGCAAGCAGCCTCATTCCACAGTAAACTCAATTGTTTTGTCCCTTTTCCTTTCCTTAATAGGATTGATTTCAAAGCCACCTTATTCTGTTCAGTTTGTTTTGTTGTGAACATATAAAAATTTTTGTTAATTAACATCAAGGACCTGGTGCCAAGAAGTCTTGTTCTCTAAAATTATAGAACTAGGAGACACTTTGCTGCCCAAAGTCATGTCAGTGAAAATGGAACATCTCCTCTTGCTTGAAGAAGCTGAGCTTTGTGGGTCACTTCGACACAGAAAAGGAGTTTCAATTTCCAGAGATTCAGATAAAGGGTTTTCAGACACATGACACTTTGATCTTAACTTTGTCATTTTCAAGAAAACAGCCTTCTGAATCTACTTTCCAACACAGCTGGTAGTCACAGTGTGATGTTTCGAACAGAATCTAAGACAATGTTTCTAACAGGACATGGCCAAAGACACACAACGCTCTCCTTTTTGAGAGCTTGCTACTGCTCTTTTATATTTTTTTAAATTTTGTTTTTTTAATTGTGATAAAAGATACATAATATAAAATTGACCATTTTAACCACTTCCTGTGCACAGCATAGTGGTAGGAAGTCCATTCTCAGTGTTGTGTGTCTGTCACCACCATTCATCTCCAGAACGGTTTCATCTTCCTGGACTGAAACTCTAGACCCATTAAACACTGACTACCACCCTGCACCCCTCGCCTCTGGCACTGCTGTCTCTATGAATTTGACGACTCCACTCTAGGTACCTCATTAAGTAGATTCAGGCAGTATTTGTCTTTTTTTCTTTTTTTGAGACAGAGTCTCAAGCTGTCACCCTCAGTAGAGTGCTCTGATGTCACAGCTCACAGCAACCTCCAACTCCTGGGCTTAAGGAATTCTCTTGCCTCAGCCTCCCAAGTAG